GATCGCACCCGTAGCAGGGTACAGCATCGTTGTGTCAAACAACATTGGGGGGTCGTACATTTTCCGCTGGAGAGGGGGGGGGGGCGTTTTTGGTCCTTGTTGGGAGAGGGGGGTTCCTTACTGACACCACCACTTCACACATCACGATGCTGTACCCTGACCCCTGATACGGATCAGTCAGAGCAAGCAAGGGCTAGCGTTTTGTCACGTAAGTGCTGAGATGCGGGCTAGAGTTTGGCTTTAGCGAGGGTTCACGAGGTTTCGGTCGTCAGTTCAATTAGTGATTACTTTCCGATTTTGTCGTGAAATGCTAGTCGACAGACGTCGAAAGCGAACTCGTAATTGCTCCTTAGCGCTTACTCTTCAAATCAATCTAAAGTACAACATTGCATTAATGCAGGTAAAGGGATAAACTCGAGCAGCGTCCAGTTACGGACAGAACGAAGATTTTTGAGCTTTTTTTTGTAATGAAATTAGTGGACTGCCTTTTTTAATGGGGAAAGCAACCTACTAGAGCTGTCAAATTCATATTTTCGTGCTAGAACATCAAGCCCATTTATAGCCTCTACTACTTTCCTTCTTTATTGAAATGTTATACGGATATTTAATATAGGCTATTGAAATTATTTGGATATTATATGAAATTTCATGACAGTATAGCGTATCTGAGCACACCAGAGTTCAGAGGAAATAAAAATAAGAATGTGTGGTTTTTATGGTTTCATCGATATTCCGTTTTGTCGGACTTCTTTTCAAGAGCTCTAAATTGATTGAATGAAACCTCTTCAGATAACATGATTTTTTTCTCCACAATTCTGCCCTTCACACGGGTATTAGTGTTCCATTCATGTGCAGCTCTATGCTTGCTTAGCTGTTCTGTTTATGCTTCATCAATGCATTTTGGAAGTGGAGGAGGCCTAGTATAAGGTGTAACATGCTTGTGACGGCGGATGGTTGGGCGTGTCAGCCAGTATGAGTGTGTCACCCTATCAGAGGTTCTCTGCCTTCTTGTTGAAGAGCGCATGCGACAAAAAGTGGTAGAAAACGAGTAATACGAAGCATATGATACAGTATTGTCACTTGCCCGCTTCAACAACTGGTGTAGAACGAGTTTGGCACCGCGCCAAACGCAGCCGCACTGACACGCCCAACCGTCCGCAGCGAACTACACTATACATGGTATTATAATTAAAATCGTCAGCGAAGAACTTTCTCGAAGTAAAGTTCCTTCAAACCAACCGCAATGAGTCACCAAATTGCCTGAGCGAAGAAGATAAAAGCTCTCTACGTCTTCCCCGACACAAGCCACGCGTCCTACTTTTACTCAAAAACTAGAGGCATTTTGAATGCGGTCGCAGTTATGCGATGGAGCAGCCGATGTGCAACTCAGTCTTTACAGGGGCGGCGGGCCAAAAAAAAAGTCATCCGGCGAAGTCACATGTGATGCCGCAGAGTGTTTCGCAGCCCAGACAGAGGAATGGATATGAGTACCAGGGCGGAAGATACCCAAGATCTTCCTCTATAAGCAGGAGCCGGCTGCCGCCATTCACCTTCATGTACACCAAAATATGAAGTCATCTCCAGTCGCGGCCTGAGTGGAGAACGCCTTTGGAATTCACGTGGCCTCCAAACAGCTGCGGAACGCAATCAACCATGA